AATATGTTCTAGATCTAAGGACAACCTATATAAAAGCATGGAGATAGGGAATGAAATGTTATATATGAGAAGAAGCAAAAAGTTAATTTTGGCTGGTTTGAAGAGTGTGTGAAGTGGAGTAAATGAGGAGATATTGTTATTTCATCCCAAATCTCTCATTTCATGTTGTGTCTCAAGTCTTATGGACTCCAGAGATTTTAATTTGTACTGTGGTAGTTTATGTGGCAATTCATTATTCTTTCAACTATACTGTGATTTCTTTTCTTTTTTTTTTTTTTAAATACTTATTTATTTATTGAGGTTACATTTGAGTTCCAGGGTGTTTCCCTTCCCCACCTCAATCCTGCACTAGAGAAGGCCAGCATTTGATGTGTGTGTTGTGTGTGTGTGTGGTTCCATATATCAGTTCTTTCTCCTTTCTCTGGAGGTGAATAGCACCTTACTTCATAGGTCCTTTGTAATTGATTTAAATATTCATATAACTTAGAATAGCCTAGTCATTTGCAGTTACTCTTTAAACAATATTGTTGTTAGTATATACAATGTTCTCTTGGTTCTTATATTGTAATTTCCTGAGGGCATGGACTGTATTTTCATTTGTGTATTTTTCACAGTACCTAGGAATTTGCATGCACTAATCTTTTTTTTAAAAAAATATATATTTTGTTTTTTCCACCAAATACTTATTAAAGCAATTTTTGACATTTGCTTTTTTTTTAAAGTTTTGAGTTCCAAATTCTATCCCTTCTTTCTTCCCTTCCCACTCCCCTCTCTGAGATAGTAAGCAATCTGATACAGGTTATACATATGTAATCATGTAAAACATTTCCATATTAGTCATTTTGTACAAGAGAGATTAGAATTTAAAAAAAAAGAATTAAAGTTAAAAGTAGCATGCTTCAGTCTGTATTCAGATAACATATGTTCTTTATCTGGAAGCGGATAGCATGCTTCATCATAGTCCTTTGGAACTGTCATGGATCATTGTGCTGCTGAGAATTATTAAGTCATTCATAGTTCTTCATCATACAATATTGCTGTTACTGGGTACAATGTTTTCCTGCTTCTGCTCACTTTGCTTTGCATCAGTTCATGTAAGTCTTTCCAGGTTTTTCTGAAATCATCCTGCTTGGCATTTCTTATAGCACAATAATATTCCATCACAGTCATATGCTCCAGCTTGTTTAGCCATTCCCCAATTGATGGACATCACTCTAATCTACAATTCTTAGCCACCACAAAAAGAGCTGCTATAAATATTTTTTTTGTACAAATAGCTTCCCCCCTGCCCCAGCCTTCATGTCTTTGGGATGACAGATCTAGCCAGAGTATTGTTGGATCAAAGGGCATGCAGTTTTATAGTCCTTTGGACATAGTTCCAAACATGTAGTAGTGCTTAATAAATATCCATCAAATTGAATTGAACTTAGAAATCTTGGAGAATAGAATCTAATATACAATAGTATATTATGATTTCTGAGCTAGAAAGGATCTTAGTGCATAAACCAGTCGTAGAGTATAACATCTGAAAAGGACCTTAAAACACATAATGGGGGAAAATAGGACAGAGGTGATTAGAGCAGCAAAGTACCTTAAAATAGAGAAATAGAGATTATTAGAACATAGATTATGAAGTTCTAAATCTGGAAGTAAGGGACATTCTTTTTTTTTTTATTATTGTTAAGTGATTGGGGTTAAGTGACTTTCCCAGGTCACACAGCTAGTGTCAAGTGTTTGGTCTGAGGCCGGATTTGAACTCAGGTCCTCCTGACTTCAGGACTGGTGCTCTATCTACTGCACCACCTAGCTGCCCCAGGGACATTCTGTAGGGTGCTGGAATGTTAAAGCCAACAGCCTTCTCATCCTAGAATATCATTCTGCCCTTGAGTCCCTTTCCTCTCGTTGATCAGTTACTCCTAGAAGCTCTATCTTAAAAAGGTGGCCAAACTGGCTGTGTTCACACCATTCGTCTTTGGGCCCCACTCCTGATTATCTGGACTTCTTTCTCTATTGTGAGCCCTGGGAGATACCTGCTCTCTTTTCTCACCTTGCCCAGCTTTTCAATTCCCTTTTGTGTCTTATCTTCCCCAATTTGAATATAAGTTCTTTGAGGGAAGAGTTTCTCTTTGTGCTTGTATTTATATTCCCCATGCTTGGCACAATGCCTGTACCTGCTTAATGACTGTTTGTTGACATAGATATTAAAACTGAGATGAACCTTGGAAGACAGTGTGTCAGATATCAATCAATCAATCAATCTAGAATATATTAAGTTCCTACTATGTGCCAGACGTTTTGTTAATCATTGGGTTACAAAGAAAAAAATGCAACATTTCCTGCCTTCAAGGAGCTCACATTCTATCAAGGGAGGTAGGTACCTACATAAGTAGATACAAAAGCTATAATACATAAAAAATAATATTGTGGTAGGAAGTTGTTACTTTATTTGCATTTTGAAAGAAACTAGGGATTCTAAGTAGCAGAAATAAGGAAGGAATACAATTCCAGGCATAAGAGACAGAAATAAAAGTGACCAAATGTAGAATGTTAGCTTCTACAGAGGTGCTTAACCTGGGATTTTTAAATTTGTTTTAAAAGTTTATTTTGAATAACTGTTTTAAACATAATTGGTTTTGCTCATAATCCAAAATTTTATGCTTTTTAAAAAATAATTCAGACAAGGGATTCATCATCTAGATTTTTCACCAGTCTGGCAAAGGGGGCTATGATGCACACACAAAAAGAGGCATGGAATATAAAGGTGATGGGTTACCTTAAGTCACATAGAAGGTCAGTGGTGGATGGAATTGGAAACCATGTTTTCTGAGGATCCAATACTTCCATTTTAGAGCCGTTATACTGCCCTGCTCTGATGAACATTTAATTTGTAATTTGAGTCTGGCTTGTCTGTGAAAATCATTTCTCTTCCAGCCACTGACTACTAAGTCATATTCAAGGCCCAGTTACCGGATATGGAGACCAGATGGAGTTAGGGAAACATTGTCCTTGATTTTCTCAGATCTAGCAAACCAGGTAAATGGCTGTTCATAGAGAACTTTTGCTGACAAGCAGGAAAACAGATCTTATCACAAACAACATTTGGAAAGAGAGGGATGTTTTACACATTCCCTGAGGAGACTACATTATTCATTACATAAATACTCATTAAATGCCTACTAAGACCACATCCCTAGGTCCTGAGGTATAACCTAACCCTGGTGGAATGAAGTCAAGACTACAGACACTGACCTTTGCAAAATGTTAATAACTGGCATTTAATAAGAGGTTGGCCTGGTTATTCTGTAGCCATAATGCTGAGTAGAATTTTAATCTCCTCCCACTTTCTGCAAGCAGCCTTTCTAGTATCTTACCTTCATCTAGCCCACTACTATTTTGATTTATCCTGTATATATCTTATTTTTACATAGATGTCAGCATGTTGTCTCTCCTATTTGATTGTGAACAGCCTGAAGGCAGGGACTGTTTTTTGCCTTTCTTTGTATCGTCAGCACTTAGCTCAGTGTTTGCTTGACGCATAGTAAGCACTGCTGACAACTTTTTGATTGTTGACTGACTTCCTGACTTCTCTCCCTCTTAGATGGCCCATCTCCTTTTCTTCAGTTGAGCTAAGACTTAATCAAGGAATCTCAGAATGGAAGCAGAATTTGTCCTCTGGTCTAGCCCTTACCTCAGTCAGAATCCCCTTTACAACATAATAAACAAATCATTTAGCTTTTGCTTAAAGACTCCTAAAGAAGTCTAATCCACTACCTCTCTACTCTCTCCAATTAGATTGTAAACTTCTAGAGGGAAGAGAGTGTCTTTTGCCCTTTTTGTTTCCTCAATGCTTAGCAAAGTGCTTGACACATGGTAGATGTTTAATAAATGTTGATTGATTGATTGACTGTGTCGATGTGTTTTTCTACCATAGCCTATTCAGCATTTGTTACTTTTTGGGGGTCACTTTTGCTAATCTGATAGAACACAGAGTCAAAAAAATCATGGAATAACCTAAATGACAATAATAAAAATAAATTTAGATAAAGAGGGCCTAGCAATTTCAAATTTCAAGCTATACTTTCAGGCAGTAATTCTTAAAGCAATTTGATCTTAAAAAAAAAAAGAGAGAGAGAGAGAGGTCATTAGAAGAGTTTAGCTATACAACATACAGAAGCAAATGTATCCAGTAACCTAGTATTTGATTTAAACCCAAAGACCCTAACTACTGAGATGAAGATCCACTATTTGACAAAAACCGATTGGAAAACTGGAAAACAGTATGGAAGAATTTAGATTTAGACCAACACCTTATACAAAAATAATTTTTAAGTTATTCCATGATTTTTATGTAAGAGCTAAAATCATAAACAAATTTGAGAAACAGTTACCAAACATATATAAATGTTACAGAAAAGTTCTTATCAAACAAGGGACAGAGACCATCACAGAAGATAAAATGGGTAATTTTGATTACATAAAATTTAAAATCTTTTGCACAAACAAAACCAATAAAGCTAAGATTAAAAAGAAAAAAAATGGAGAAAAATCTTTCCAGCAAGTTTCTCTGATAAAAGTCTCATTTCCAAGATATAAAAGAAATGATTTAAATTTATAAGAACAGAAGCCATTTCCCAATTGATAAATGGCCTAAGGATATGAACAGGCATTTCTCAAAGGAAGAAACACAGGGTATCTATAGTCATATTATAAAATGTCCCAAATTACTCCTAATTAGAGAAATGCAAAAATAAAGAAATTGTGAGATTCTACCTAAAATATGGTATCAAGAATGGAATGCCACACTCTATGTGTGGTCCAACTAGGGCAGAATACAATGGAACCATAACTTCCCTTCTTCTGTACGCTATGCCTAACCTAAAACCTAAAACTGTAATAAATTTTCTAGAAGCCATATCATGTTATGGCTTTACCTTGAATGTATAGTCAACCACTAAGTCCTGCATCTTTTTTTTCATGTTTTCCTCTCTATTTCTCTCCAGGGATGTATTTCCCCAAGGTCTACCTGATGAGTATGCTTTTGTCACTACTTTCCGGTTCAGGAAAACTTCACGAAGAGAAGACTGGTATATCTGGCAAGTCATTGACAAATATGGAATTCCACAGGTATGTCATCATCCCTTCAACCATTGACTGGTTTTCCTATGCTTATAGAACCATTTGTTTCCTTTTTTCTCTGGATACATAAATACTCTACTTCCCAGGGTCCCAATCATTCAGAGATAGGGCTGAATCAGACTACTTGATATTAAGTAGTTGGCTGGATTTGATTGCTATAACTTTCAGGTCAGTTTCTTGGTTTGAAATAGGGGAAGGGCAATACAGAAAAAAAAGAGAACTTTGGATAATGGATGGCTAGAAGCTGGAACCTGGTACCTGTGACCTACTGCCCTCCCTGGCTACCTTTAAGTACCAACCGAAATCTTCTCTTCTAAAGGAAGACTTTTGCAATCCTTCTTAATTTTATTTCCTATTTATTCTGTATATAACCTGTTTGTATATTTTTGTTGTCTTTCTCTATTAGATTGTGGTCTTCTTTAGGGCAGAGACTATCTTTTGCTTCTTTTTTTATCTCTAGGGCTTAGCCTAGTACCTGGCATATAGTAAGTGCTTATGACTGACTATGGGTTCAGTGCTTTTTAGCTGTATACGCAGAACCCTCTTGGTGTGATAAAGGAGGAGGTCCCTAATGACCAGGTAGTATTTATTTTCCTGATGAGTGTTTAAGCAGCTTTATTAGGAGAGTAAAAATATTGTAAAACCAAATAATTAAGATGCTATTTCTATTAGACAGATGCACTGATTGACAGCCAGTATCAGAGAAACCATATCTGAGTAACAGAGGACCCAGCAGTGAGGACTGGCATTTATGTGCAGGGCATATGAATTTATGGCTATGCAGATTGAACTTCAAGAGAAAGGCACATAGCTGACATTTTTATTTTTACTAGACTGATGATATCACTAATGTAGGGAGCTCACAAAGAGTGATTTCCTCTATCAGTGCACATTAGTGCCTTCCCTTCAATCTAGAGTTTTAGTGAATTGCCTGGGAACCTGGAAGATTAAGTGACATGCTATAGGTCACTCAACTAGTATCTGTTAGAGGGAAAACTTGAATCAGGTCTTTGTGCATCCAAGGCCAGCTCTCTAGCCATTACACAATACTACCTCTTGCATATCATACTGCATCCATAAAAAAGGATGTTTTCTCAAAGGGAGACTTTGTATGGGATAACCTGACATTCATTAACATTTTGTGTTTCTCCCAATGCACTGTTTATTTTTCTGATCTAATCTGTGTTGACTGCCTCCTAACTTTGACTATTACTCTTCCCTCTATTTAATGCTTCTTCCTAGCCCTTTGGATTTTTGGCCCTGGTGAATTTTTTTTGGTTTAACCCTGGAAAAGTACTCCAAGATCTATCTCATCTTGGACCAGGCTCATTCCCTAGTATTTCCTCTTCTTCTAGTATTGTTAATTGCCTAGCATGCCATGGGTAATTTTTTAGGACTGGAATGAAACTTAGGCAAGTTATTTGTGTCAAATGTTGGCCTTCTCTAGCCTAAGGTTGGGAGGGAGAGAAGAAAACAGATTGGAACTCAAATGTAACAAAAAAAAAATTTAAGAAAAAGAAAAAAACTTTTTTTTGCAACTATAAGTATTTCTAATATATCTAATATAAGTAATTTATCAGTATTGTCATTTCTTTCACTCTGACAGATTATAATTCCCCCCTAAAGTTAGTTGCCAGCCTTTGAAAATTATTGTTGCTAAGTTTATCACACTGTAGCCAACCAGGTAGTGAGCCTCTCTAAATGTAACTAGACTGGTCCTTGGAGAAAGCCAAAACAAAAACCATAATACATTCATGGTTATCATGAGGACTATCACTGACCCTTTCCAGCTTAAGAAAACAATTGTACTCTTAAATCCATGTGGGTTTAGGGATGCCTATGTATAGGGTACTTGCACATGTAGGTAAGGGGTAGTTATATCAATGTCCCCCTCCCCAGTATCATCTAGCCTATGTATTTTCCACAAGAATAACATATCTCTTGACTCCCTTTCTAGAGTTATCCTTTTCCATTCTTTTCCTTGTCCTTCTCCCTTTCCTTCCCTTTCTATCATTCCCCTCTCTTTGCTTCCTTTTTTCCCGCTTTTCCTTTCCTACTCTCTCCATGACTGGAAGTGCAAGAGATACTCATGGACTAATAATGAAAATGGTAGCTATTATTTATGTAGCATGTTAAGGTTTCAAATTACTTTATGAATATTATCTTGTTAGATTCTCACAACAATTCTAATTATAAAAGCTATAATTATACCCATTTTACAGATGAGAAAATGGAGGCAGGTTGAGGTGAAGTGACTTGCCTATGTTCACATAACTAGTTAATATCTGAGGCCAGATTTGAACTTGAGTCTTCCTGACTCCAAATCCAGCTCTTTAAACAATGTGCTATCAAAGCTGATCATTATAGAAGTTTTAATATGCTCCATTTCCCCCCGGACAGGTTCACCTTTCTTTAGGCAGCCTGGTAGCCCTCACAACTTCCTGTATTAGTACAATATTTAGTACAAATGGGCTTCGCAGCTCAGAATTCCTGAACTTGAGATCTACCAGCCTTGGCTTCCCTAGCAGAAGCAATTATAGGCATGCAACACTATCCCTGACTCCAGAATTATTTTCATACTAGATCATGGAATGCAGTAATTTTTTCCCAGAGTGTTTTGAGTTAAATATTTCTCCCTCTCTCTAATATCATTCTATCTTTATTTTGTCCACTTCTTCACTCTGGCTTTTACTTTTCAACTGCTTCCAAAATAATTTTTAGCTTTCCACTTTGATGGGTTGGAGAGGGTGATTTTCAGCTTTCATCTAAATGGGGAATGTGAAACTTGGTAATCACAGTCATCCCAGAAACCAATTGGTGTGTCATCAAAGATCTCATTTTCTGGCAAATTGTTAGCCGCTTTGCTCACATGGTTAATGAGCCAACCATATGTCAGTCAGTCATCTGCCTTTGTCTTCACCTGGAAAATGAGCTTTTGGAAGGTAGATGCCAAATTCTTCTATGAGCCACTATGTTTCCCTTTGGGAAGTATATTTAAAAAGGATGTGGCTAAGGCTTTCTCCAACTCTATCCCCTTCCTCTGCCATCTGGAAGAAAGAGTATTCAGGACACCTGGATTCTCTTCTCAGCTCAGAATCACCCTGCTTTAGGAAGGACATTAAACTTTGAGGTAGAAATCCTGCATTCAAACCTTAGCACTAATGATTGACATTGGGTAAATCACTTGGCCTCTCAGAACTTCTGCTGCCTTATGTGTAGGAATAAGAATAATAATGCCTGTGTTTGCACACAATATAACATACACATTTAGTATGTGGGGTTATCGTGAGGAAAATACTTGGTAAACACTAAAGTATCAAATACAGGTGAGAGCCCAAAAGGACCTCAATATACCTGGAAGATAGCCTTATCCCCATTTTGCATACCTAGTTGAGACTTGGAAAACCCAAGGCCATATGGTGGTGGTGGACTCTATTGCTAGTCTCTTGTATTACTCTTTTCACCACCCTATTCTGGTGTTTTCTCCTTTCTGTTACTAAATCTATAACTCTGAGTCAAGTTACTTTCTTTATGTCTCAGTTTTCTCCTCAGTAACATGCGGGGTTTAGAATAAATGATCTCTAAGGTCCTTTCCACTCTAGTACTCTATGTGCCAGGTTTCCTTCCAGTTGTAACACTTTATAGTTCTGTGACTCTATTGACCAGGGAGTAGGTGGTACCTTAAATGTTCAGTTGTTTTTCAGTTACCTCAGACTGACTCCATTTGGGATTTTCTTGGCAAAGATACTAGAGTGGTTTGCCATTTCCTTCTCCAGCTCCTTTTACAGTTGAGGAAACTGAGGGTCACACATCTAGTAAGTGTCTGAAGCTGGATTTGAACTCAAGATGAGTCTTTTTGACTCCTGGGCCATCACTCTGTTCACTGAGCCACTTAGCTGCTCAGGTACATTTAAACAAGATGGAAACTGGTGAGGATATAATTGTCTCAAAGGACAACACAGCATCTTCTCTGGCCCTGCATCCAAGTCAGTGGAGGGTCAACATCTAACTGCCACTTCTCAAGGCATGGCAGAAGTAAAAGAATTTGAACTTGGATTTGAGTACTTGTCAGGTATAGCATAGAAGGGATGCCTTTTGTAGACATACTAGATGGCTGCTAAGATCCCTCCCAATTCTCAGGTGCTGTGATTTGGTGAAGTGAAGCCTGGACATCCTAATTTTTGGTTTGTCATCTTTGACTTGAACTGGAGTACAGATATAACTTAGCCCATTTCTTCTAGATCAGGAACCAACACTGCTACTACTAATATTTAAAGTTCTTTAATGTTTTAAAAGTACCATAATTTCACTGGGGTAGGAAGTCTTATTTTTTCCCTCCCCTTCCTCTCCTTTCCCTTCTCTTTTCCTTTCTTCCCATGTCTTTTCATTTCCCCCTCTCCACTCACCTCCAAGCCATGTTCTCTATAGCCATCTTGCTGTCTCTCTACTACACAGGTACCATTTCCTACTCTGATCTCCTGTCCTGTTCTCTAGTTTTAGAACCATGCTCCATGATCAGTTTAACCATCTCATTTTTCCTGGATTGGGAGAAGAGGGAGAAAGGGGATGGGAAAACTGGGCACTATATTAAATACTTAAAAAATATTATCTCATTTGATCCTCATAACAATCCTTTGAAGTAGGTCCCATCATTTTACCAATTTTTATATTTGCAGAAATTGAGGCAGATAGAAGTTAAGTGACTTGGCCAGGGTCACACAGCTGGTTAGTATCTAAGATCAGAAAATATCATCAATCTATCCCTCTGTGATCTCAAAAGTTGACTGTAACTTTCAAGACTAAAGTTTTGCCACTGACCACCACTCTCCTATGTGTGTTGCTTCCCCCTTAAGACTAAAAACTCTTGAAGGACAGAACTCTCTTTTCAATAGTAACATTTTTACCAGTGTTGCTATATGACAAAGTGACCTGGAATACTGCAGTTTCTGAAGAATTAAAGATGAGCATCACACAGAGAGGGCAGTAGA